CGGGGCGGAGAAGCTGCAGGGGGCGTGGCCTGGGCTTGGAGTGTCGGGTTACGCCTCTGCCTCTTTTGCAGCCCTCACCCCAAGACCCGAGTGAGCCCATGTGGAAGTCAGGGGCGCCCTGACTGTGGAGCTGCCCTGGCAGGCTGGGTGGAGCTTGAAAGTGCCCTCCAGGGTTTTGCGGGCGGGCCAGTCTGTGTGATGGACATTTGATCCCCCTCTGTGGAAGAAGGGCAGAGGGAAAATGGGGAGCCCCAACTAGCTCTCTCCCCGCAGGTCCGTGGCTGTGGATTGCCGTGGGGGGCGCGGCGGGGGGCGCAGCGCTGCTGGTCGCCGGGGCCGGCCTGGCCTTCTACGTGCAGTCCACCGCCTGCAAGAAGGGCGAGTACAACGTGCAAGAGGCTGAGAGCTCCGGGGAGGCCGTGTGCCTCAATGGCGCGGGCGGGGCCCCAGGCGCAGAAGGTGGACCCGAGGGGGCGGGCTCCGCAGAGGCGCCGGCGGGGGGCGAGGTCTTCGCCATCCAGCTGACCGAGGCGTGAGCCAGAGCCCCTCTCCCTGCAGGCCCGGCGGACAGAGGGGCTTGTCTGTTGTTCTATTTGTTTACTCATTTATTTATTTATTTATTCAAACTCGAGGGACACACTCCTATTTTCTAACACCACCACCCCGCCCCCGCCCCCAATAAAGTTTTTATAAAGGATCCCTGCTTCTGTGTCTCCCCTGTGGAAACCAACCCACTGTTCAAATCTCGATCTTACACGCTATTCTTTTTTTTTTTAATCATGTTACTGAGGGCTGGTACAACTCAGCACAATCCATACATCCATCCATTGTGTCCAGCACATTTGTACATTTGTTGCCATCATCATTCTCAAAACATTTCCTTTCTACTTGAGCCCTTGGTATCAGCTCATTTCCCCCCTCCCTCCCCGCATCCCTCCCTCATGAGCCCTTGATAATTTATAAATTATTACTTTGTCATGTCTTACACTGTCCGTCTACCTTCACCCACTTTTTCGTTGTCCGTCTCCCAGGGAGGGGGTTATAGGGAGATCCTTATAATCGGTTCTCCCTTTCTACTCCACCTTCCCTCCACCCTCCTGGTATCGCCACTCTCATCTGTCCTGGATTCCCTGTTTCCCATTCTTATCTGTACCAGTGTACATCCTCTGGT